CTCCCTCACGGCCCCGGGCCGGGCCGCGGGCTGCCGCCCTGGGGCTGCCGGAGGATTGCCTCGGTGCAGCCGTGGCGATCTTCTCCCTTGAAACGGGCGTATTTACACTTCTGACCCCGTAAGTGCTAGTATGTAAACAGGGCCCTGCTCCTGCACGGAGCCATGAGCAGAGCTGCGGAGGTGTCGCGGCAGCCCGCAGCAAGTCAGCTGAAGCTCCTTTGCGGAGTTTCAACACCAGCAAGCTAATAAACCATTTTCACAAATGCATTTCCCATAAATAAACGAATAAGTGCTTCCTAATGCTTCTACACATTCAGATGTTCGTTCTCCAAATGACTCAAGTGTTTTAAGCTGATTGTCATAATTCGGTGTGTAACACTTCAATATCTGTAGCTCGGAAGATGAGGTGGATGTGCTCTTACACGGCACTCCTGACCAGAAGCGGAAGCTGATTCGGGAATGCCTGACTGGGGAGAGTGAGTCTTCCAGTGATGATGAGTTCCAAAAGGAAATGGAAGCGGAACTGGACACCACCATGAGGACTTTGGAAGGCAAATGGAAATCACCAGAAATGGGTAAATGCATTCTAACAGCTGCTTGCATATGAAATTGTGAGTGGTGTCCGGTTAAGGTGTGAAGTTAATGTTTTATTCTTGTGGCTAGAGGTGTGTGATGGTAGTCTAGTGCTGCTGGAAGCCAACAGGAAAAAATGGCTGATTGCTTCTGCAGAAATGGTCACCAGGTGCCGCATCAGTGAATGCCTCTCTTTCATCTTTTCTAAGACTTGGTGTTTCTGAACTTTTGATTTCTTGCTTTAATATGATTTCTCTCTGTTGGTTCAGTCACCTTTTTTCCAATATTTCTTTGGTTTAAGTTGTATTTAGAAACCTCTTGAGCAGGTTGTGGTCTCTTGTATTTTGTCTATTGGCTCCAGGTGGCTGTTGAGATTTGGAGCCCTTTCTTGAAGAAAGGAATGCACATGGTAGATTAAAATCCCAAATCAACTGGCAGAATCAATCAGGAACAATATTAATCTCTTCCTCCCTTACCTGCTCATAATTGTTACATCAAATAATAAAACTGTATTGAAGATGTATGACATGTACATAACATCTGTGTTCTGGAGTTTGTGTACTATGGATGCAAAAGATTAATTGCTTTGGTATTTGAAGAGCATCTGTTCTTTCTACCTATTAAAAAATACCTAGTGAAGTGTTCTTGATTTCCTGGAGAATCAGTGTAGTCACTTCAGCGTAGGGACTTGACTCTGTATTCAACAGGTTAGTTTTATCTGTGTTATGGGCAAATTTTTCTTTAGGTTTTGGTTGTGCAATCCATTCAGCACAGAATAGAATTTTTGCTGCAGACAGGCTGTGACACATGCTTGGCAATCCATCTGGGTCTTTTTTGAACTTCTGTGGCCCTGAAATTTTGGGGGATTTTTTTTTTTAGTGAATTTTATTGTTATCAAAGTTTGTGAAGCAGTGTGTCACATCTGTATTTCTTTCACATGACAAAAAGATTTGTGGAGTGTCCAAGATGTGTGGATTATATAGGACAGAGGCAGGTATATTTGATGTGGTATCCTCTGTGCCTAAAGGGAGTGTACCTTGGAGGTAGCTTCCATTTGAACTGTACCTGAAGTTTGTCTCAGGGAGTGAGCAGCTTTGCTCAGAGAGAGCATCTGTAAATGAAGTAACACAAGCGAAGTGGATGATCAGGATGTGGGAATAAATTGGGAGAGCTGTTACTTAACCACCCCCAGATAAAGCAGAGCATTCCTGGGTAGTGTAACTTGGAAATGAAGGTTTGTTCTGGGCTGTATACTTGCTCTCCTTTTGGTAGGGTGTTCTTACCACTTCTCTCTAACTCCACACCCAGGTACTTCCTCAAGTACTGGGCAGACTGGACCTGCCACCACTTCAAAATACTATGATGACATTTACTTCGATTCTGATTCAGAGGATGAAGATAAAATAGGTAAATATCTGAGAAGAAGAGAGGAGGACATCTTCACAGTAACCTTCACCGTCTCAGGTCCTGTAGAATCCTCTTGAGGGGATCAGGGTTCCTGAAGGTGACCTTTTTGGGGACAATTATCAGCCTATATCATCTCAGTGTAGTTCTTGGAATTGTATGATGCATCCCTGTGTTTGTAAGGTGCATTAATGCTTTGGGGTGGTGCATTTGGAGGAGAGATGAACTAGACCTTTGTGTAGTTATTTAGGTTTATTGTGAGTATGGAAAAGGAAAACTGAAAAAGATATTTTGATTATTTAAGTAGAGAGTCATTATATGTCTGATGGATGTCACATGTGGTTGCACAAATCTTTCAAGTTACACAGGATGTCTGGAAAAACAGAAGACATCAGCAGCGTCGGATTCTTTCCAATGATGAACTGCTGTATGACCCAGAAGAAGACAGCAGAGACCAAGCGTGGGTGGACTCACAGAGGAGGAGGTAAGAGACCATAAAAATTTGAACTGTAGGATGCTTAACGTAAACTGAAAAATTTAAGCAAAAATGGTGAATATAGAGAAAAAGCCTATACTGTCAAGTCCATACAGTGAGAATTTTATTTAGAATTTACAGCATATGAAACTTAGAAGCCTGTAAAATTTTTATGTCTGTGTAGTAGAAGTCTTCAAAATTACATAATTCTAAAACTTGCAATTTTTTAAAAATGAAGACTTTCTAGTTCTGTATGCCAGTTTTGTATGTAGATAACCATGCTGTGGATGAAGAGGTTGTGAGATACTTTGATTGCTAAATTAGTATCTGTTCCTGCTAAATATTGTATTTCTAATTTTGGAAATATTTGAATTTAGCAAGCCACAAAATGTTAAGATAAAACAGGCATATCACAAAGGTGCTTTACTGAGAGTTTTTTGAAGGGTGAAGTAAAAAAATGGTTGTTGCAGCAGAAGTAAAATTCTCAATGTAAATCTGTTGAAAAGGATAATGTTAGTGTGTGTTGCCTGCAGGGATTGCACTTGAGATACTTGTCTCATCAGAGGAGAAGGTGGTTAAGCACAGATTCTCATGCCAGATGTATTTGTCTCAACAAGTGAAAATTCTCTGTACAGAGTAAATAGAAAGATACTGGTTAGCTTTTTCCCTGCAGCTTATTTATTTGTGTCCTTTGAGTTAGGGAAAAGGGTGTCCAGAAGGAGACAAATATTAATTGGTGTATTTTAATATAAAAAAGGTTTGACAGTTGAGTTGATATGGCTGACAGCAAGGGCATGTAATTTCACTTTTTGTCTCTCCTTTCTTGAATGGGTAGGTACCGTAATCAAAGAAGAGTGCTGCCGCAGCAGCAGCAGCAGCCGCCAAAACCTTCAGCTGTTCCAAACAGTGATGCTGTTTTGAATTGTCCTGCTTGCATGACAACATTATGCCTGGACTGCCAGAGGTAATTAGCAAACAATAAGGGGTCTTTTTGTAATGTCTTTTTTTCAGTCACTAGTATTTTTAGTTTATTCAATTTGATTAAGTCTGTCTTGCGAGGTGGTAAAGAAGGCAAGTGTATGTGAAGCAGATTTAGGGGTGAATGCTAGTTTGTAAGAATGATGATTGGTTTAACCTGCAACGTGGAGATGAGGAAGAACAGGGTAGAACTTTAGCATAGTGGAGAAGGTAAACTACTTAATCATGGAGACTAAACAGGCAGTTCAGGCTGATTTTTTTTTTTTTTTTTAAATGTTGGATTGATGTTTAGAGGCATAAAATTACTCCAGGTTATTTTTGTGTAAAAGTGCCTTGTTTAGGGGAGGATTAAGCAAAATCAAGATAGTGTATTCTTACTTGGTTTGAGTCTTAGCAGTTGTGGTTTTGAGTGTAGTTACATTTAAAAGTGCCTGGAAAGCATTTAGGTGAGAATCCATGGTGTGTTTTGCAGCTCTCTGGTATCTGACTGCACTGCAAACCTAGTTAGTACTGTTGACCCATGCTAAGGAAAGGACTCTGGAACTGGCAGTAAAGGAGAAAGAAATCTTTTGAGATGAGTAAACTACCTCTCATTTATTGAGTACTTTAAATGACTGAGGATGAAATTCCACAGCAGCCTAAAATCATTTAAGTACTGGGGGCTGTTTCTCACTCTCTTCCCTTTGCTGGCTCAGGTACTCCTAGACCCTGTTCTGTACTTAAGTATTTCAGTTTGCTGACAGAAAATGGTCCATTTTTGTTGTCCATTGGGTCTTTTGTGGGCTTAATAAACTGAAATGGTTTGGCACAGTGTTATGCAAGCAGTAAAGCCAGCAGAAGTCAAGATAAGACTTCTGCAGCCACCTGTTATGTTGGTTTAGGCTGCTGTAAAACTGCAGTCTGAGGGACATTGTGTTGAATTGAATTGCAGCCCTGAATTTTGCTATGTACTCTAGCTATGCAGTTGTTATACTGATGACAGCTGAAAATACATCTTATATTTTATTATAGACGTGCTTTTCAAGTGGGATGTGTCGATGTTTGCTATTTATAAATAAGGAATTTCAGGCTTGCAAGACATTTTAGGATATAAATGCCAGTAGTTGAGTCATTTGCACTCATGATCTTTTGCCTGTCATCAGCTATACGTAGCAATGCATAATTCTGTAATACCAATACCATAGTACTCCAGGGTGTTTATTTCAGCATGTTTTTAAAAACACCTTAAAAGCAAGACCAATGGCTACGACTATTTTTTAAAATTATTTTTGTAGTTATGACTTTTGCTCTGTTTATGAAACTTCGTATTTATTTGGCTTTCAGCTCTTTGGCATGGTATTCCCTATCTTTAATCCCATTTCCAGTGATGATAACTGATTTCTTGGAAGCAGAGTTTTACTAATGGTATGACTTGCATTTTCTCTCCTTCTCCGTAGACATGAATCTTACAAGACACAATATAGAGCAATGTTTGTGATGAACTGCGTTGTTAAGAAAGAGGAAATTCTGAAATACAGAAAGAAGCTAAAGAAAAGAAGTAAGAAAATGAAGCACAGCAAAGAAACTACCTCTACACAATCAAATCAAGAAGAGGAGGAAGTGTATCATCCGGTATTATGTACTGAATGCTCAACTGAAGTGGCAGTAATGGATAAAGATGAAGTTTTTCACTTCTTCAATGTTCTAGCCAGCCATTGTTAATGTGCAAAAGCAGGGGGAAAAAAATCCTGCACTGTTTTAAGACTGTGTGAACTATCGGAAATGCAGTCATGTTAACCTTTTTTAAATACGTTGTTTTTTTTTTAAATGTGCATTTTCATCAGAGAACTTTATAGCGATTGGGTTTTTGCAAAGTTTACAAAAGCAATACGCTTAACTGCGTGCATTTGAGAGCACTGTTCTTTCATGCTGTCAGGTGGTTGCATCACTGAGAATTTAAAATTTTGTAAATACAATGTAAGATCTGTGTATTATGATCATTCCCTGTATATATACTATCCATTATGTCATGTATTAGAACTGCTGCTTAGAATAAATACTGTCTAGTAACTGGTTCTCCATAGCTGCATTGGTCGTTTCTATGGCACGTGGTAAACAACTCTCAGTCAGGATGTTTGGCTTCTTTAGGCTGGTATTCTTGGTAGAGTTGCACACAGGTAGGTTTGATAAAGAAGGAATTGTCATCATATTTTGAATTTTGGCCCATTAAGATCTCAAAAATGGAAACTTTTATTTATACATAGTGGAAGATTAGCTTATATTGAGTTTGCTGGCATGAATCATTCTGGCATGGATCATTTAAATCAACATAATGCCTAGTAATACAGTTAAGAGTTTTAAATGTAAATATGTATATGAAGAAAACACTGGACATTTTTTCTATTGTCCTTTTCCTTAAGATGACACATCTTAAAAAAGAAATTTTGGTCAGATCTATGACCATACAGCTAGTTTGTGTGCTTTTTCTGTTTCTTTAGTACATTTACAGCTTCTTTACACAAACATAAAGAGCTTCTGCTCCTTGATATTTAGACTTCCTGCTTAGTCTGTGAAGCCACTGCAGTGTTAACAGTGGATCTTTCCCTCTTTTCCTCCAGGCATGCTCCCGAGAGGTCAACTCTTGATTTTTACTAGTGGGTAACATCTCCTTTATAGCCTGGTATTTTTTTAACACTTCACTTTGAACAAGGGTCTGTCTGAAAAAAATCTCATCTTTATGCTTTTTCTTTTAATAGTATGAGGAATGATTTGTTATATGTGCTTTGAAGAATTGTCAGAAATACTTAACTTAGGAGATAGGAACCTGACGAACATACTTCTTTTGTGCCTTGGATGAACAGAATCACACCAGTAAGTGCGTGTGGAAGTCCCTTTCCAGCGGGATTTCAACTAGCGCCTTCTAGAGTGCCAGTATCAACTACCAGCAGCCCTTCAGTCGGGCAGTCCGGGCCCATCTCTGCGCATTTCTCCTCACCGGAGGGGCCCAACTCTGCACGTTTCTCCTCACCGGAGGGCAGTGAGCAGTCGGGGCAGGGGTGTCCCATGCCCTCTTGTTTTCTGGTCCCAAGTGCCTGAGGGAAGTGCAAAGTTAGCAACAGTTACAGTAAGCAGTCAATCTATTGCCTCTTTGTTTTTCCTATTCATACAGGATTAATCTGACAGAGTTGGGTGATGTTAAGGTCTTTACTTATCTGGGCCATGATTTTGGGTGGGCTCTACGCTCCGAGAATTTAAGACACTGGAGGCCCCTGCAGAGCGTTTTTAACACACCTCCCGTGGGCCCTGCCGAGCGCGGTCTCCGGGTCTTCTGTTATTCCCAGAACATCAATTTAGATTAAATAGGATGAGAGGAAATGGGCTGCAGCACCATCTCCCAGGTATGACTCAGAGCGGCAGATTACTGCAGGTTCGCGGTCAGCCATGTGATTCAACCAGCGCGGACACGGGCTGGCCCGCCCTGCTGGATTCTAACGTTCTGCAGGGGACGAGGGCACCGCCGTGCTGGCGGGCATCCCCGGCACTCCGCGCCGCCGGCCTCGCCGCCCGCGGAGGAGCCCAGCAT